TGCTGCCCTGGTGCGATGGGCTTTTGCAGCTGCTGGCCCTACAGCTGTGGCCTGGTAGTTCCTGTCTAGACACCCTGGCTGAGTCTGTATCATTTCTTTCATCCTCCCTGATTCAGATGTTTATATTTGACCAAAATCTGATGAGATTTTTTTTACCGTTGTTTTAAAGTAGTGTCTATACATGGTAAACATTCCAACTGTTCAAAATTTCTCTTCTCCACTCCAGCCCCAGCCCTCTCCCTATGGGGAGCTGTGGTTACCCATCTCTTGAGTGTCTTTCCAGAGATATTCAATCCATATGAAATCCTATGTATGTTTGTATGGGTGTGCCAGTCTCCAGTATGGTGTGTTAATCTAATACACTGTTACTCATAGCTGTGGTTAAATCAATACCCAGGGTTCACATTTTTTGTGGCTAAGGAAATTCTGTTTTCCGCTGAGTCATGTAATATACTATAATTATATTTTACTTGTCTTAGTCTGTTTTTGGTTGCTTATAACAGAATACCTGAAACGGAGTAATTTATAGAAGAATGTATTTCTTACAGTTATAGAGGCTGGGGAGTCCAAGGTAGAGGAGCCCTGTCTGGTAAGGGCCTGCTTGCTGGTGGGGACTCTGCAGAGTCCTGAAGCAGCCCAGGGCATCCCATGGTGGGGGGCTGAGCATGCTAACATGGTATGTCAGGTCTCTCTTCCTCTTATAAAGCCATTGGTCCCATTCCCATGAAAATCCATTAATCCATTAACCCACTCATCCATTAATCCAAGAATTGATTAATCCACTCATGAGGGCAGAGCCCTTATGATCTAATCACCTCTTAAAGGCTCCACCTCTCCATGCTGCCACATTGGGGATTAAGTTTCAGCATGGGTTTTGGAGGGGACATTCAAACCATAGCTCTTCTCAAGTAGCTTTTTGATTTTCCTGAATTTAATAGTTTCCCAAGTATCAATCACTCATTCTTCCCTAAACTCTAAAGGAACATATGCATCTCCTTTCACAATGATGAAGTTATTAGGACTGATCTTCACCACTGTTCTGGGGTCCCCTCCTCCTCCTGCCATCCAGCTCCTGTTTCCTGGAGCCCAGGTCCTTTTTTTCCTTGTGCTCCTTCACTTTGGCATGGAGCCCGTCCTCCAGTAACTCCCTGTGACTTGCATGTCTGAAAATGCCATTTTTTCTACCCTCACCTTGAGGTAGTTTGGCTAGATACAGAATTAATAGAGGAAAATAACTCCCACTGTAATTTTGAAGTCATTGATATATTTCCTTTGAGTTCCAAGTTGCTCTTGAGAAGTAGAATGCGGGTCCAATTCACTAGCAAGTGACCTGCTTTTCTTCACTTTGTCTTAGAGTTGTAACATTCCCTGATGAAGCCCATTCGTGGGTCTTTTCTTTCCATTGTGCTGCTTACCCAGGGGCCTGGTTAGGAAAGACCCTTATCTTCACTTCTGGGGTGTTTTGTTGATCATCCTTCTCCATCATCCCCTGTCTATGTTCTCTCTGGAACTCCTCTTCCTCAGTTGTTGGGATGCCCAGATTGCTGTTCTGAGCTCAAAGCCTTTCCAGCTGAGCCTCCACAGAGACCGAGCCTCCTGTTTCTGGAAGAGACCCAACGACAGACACTCCTCCTGTCTCCAGCCTTACCTCACACCCTTCTTCCCAGTGGGAGCCTTTTCTTGGATGTCTAGAAAGTAACAAGTGGAATAATTGATGGAAAATCTTTGTTGTGATATAGATGGCATGGGTCTGGACTTGCTGGCTAATGCAGGTACCTGTCCTTACTGGGTGATTGCTAAGCTCTCCCTGACATGAATGACTAAAGACAAAGTTTAATCGTGCTCCCTTTGTGCTCTGCATGTTCCTTTTCTCTTTCTGGGCTGAATCTTCCTTGCTGGTTGCCTTAAGGTTCTCCCAGGCATTTTGTGCAGTCTGATTTCTATAGCCCAGGGCGTGCCTGATAGCTTCTCAGGTCTCTGGGGCTCTGCACAGGTGTGCTTTGCATCCCTGGGCTGGGTGCAGCCCCATCGGGCTGCCTTCCTTTGCTGTACCCCTCTCTGACCTTCATTTTCTCTTTGGTCCCTATACCCTGAGTCCTGATGCAAGCCTGCTGCCACTCTGGGCCTTGAGCCAGAGCCAATCTTCAAAGGCACCAGTGTCCTACCCTGTCCGATCTCATGGTTTACTGTGTCCAGCCCCTGGGCCTTGCCTCAAGAAAATGATGCCTCTTCTAAAGTGGACTTGTGAAATATGTGGGAAGGACCCCCTCTTCAGAAGCTTGGTTTTCCTTGGAGCTGCAAAGAAAAGTAGAAAACTAGTCAGCTGTGCAGAATCTTCAAGAACTGCTGAAAGCCAGAATCACCATTCAGCTACCAGTCATTGTCCACGATGGGCAGGGCATCATTCTAGACCCAGGATTCTCTCCCTCTTTTTTCAGCCCTCCCTGTCACTATGATATCCAAGGAGTTACCAGGGGAGGGTCAGCTCATCCCTTATTTGGAAATATTTGACCCGTGAGATCTCCTTCCAGCTTCTCCTGGTGATCTGTTGGCATTGTGACATCCAGCCACTGCCCCATTCTTGCAATTCTGTACTTAGGAGAATGGTCTCCAGTTCCATCCAGATTGTTGCAAAGGGTATAATTCATCTTTTTTATGGCTGAGTATTACTCCATGGTATATATATACCACATTTTATTAATCTACTCATAAAATGATGGGCACTTGAGTTGATTCCACATCTTTGTGATTGTGAATTGTGCTGCAATAAACATTCAAGTGCAGGGATCTTTTTGGTAAAATGACTTTTCCTTTGGGTAAATACCCAGTAGTGGAATTTATGGATTGAATGGTAGGTCCACTTTTAGTTCTTTGAGAAATCTCCATACTGTTTTCCATAGAGGCTGTGCTAATTTTCAGTCCCACCAACAGTGTATAAGTGTTCCTTTCTCTCTGCGTCCACGCCAGCATCTATTGTTTTTGGACTTTTTAATGAAAGCCATTCTAACTGGAGTAAGGTGATAGCTCATTGTGGTATTAATTTCCATCTCCCTGATGATTAGTGATGTTGAACATTTTTTCATGTTTCTTGGCCATTTGTCTTTCTTCTCTTGAGAAGCACCTGTTCATGATGCCATACTTGACACATATTTTCAGTACTCTATTTGTCTCAGGCTAATAAGAATCTGCAAGATGGTATCGTTGGGGAGAAGTTGTATTTAAAATGTTTAGTGTTTGTTCTGAAAACTGTGTATTTAACCTAAGGGAACTGTGTCTCCTGGAAGCCTGGGGACCTCACTCACTGCTGTGTGTCTGCTCTGGATGCCAACGAGGCTGTGCTAACTGCTGGCAGCTGCCACCACTGTCTGTAGGGCCCCTGGCCCAGGATTGAGCCACCTCTAACCTTGACAGCTTCCTAGGATCTTCTAGGCCTTAAGCTTCAGCCCTTCAACGGTTGAGGAATAGGTTTTATTTTGCTTAGGGATAAATAAGTTATGTTAGGGAAGCAAGCTGCTAGGAAGGAAAGTGGACTTCTCATCTTTTTCTTATTTTTCTTCTTTCCTCTGGTCTTCTTTGCTGTGTCTAATGAGCAGTGCCCTTGGACCAACAAAGGCAGTCTCTATTGGAGAGCACCTGAGAGTTTTTCAAAATATTCCTCATTCTCTCTCCCATTTTCACCCCTGGCTAAATGCAAGTTTCATGCATGTTGTATAATGTCCTGTTTGTAAACATGCTGGAAAGGTGGAAAGCAGGATTGTCAGCCTCTTAGAGCCAAGGCTGCCTTCTATAGCAGAGATTTTCTAACAGACAGTGTTCTAACCATAATATGAGGAATACAAAGGAAAGGTGATTTATAAGAAAGTATTGTGAATCTCAACATGTAAATGCTGGGCATGACCACCTCAGGAGAGATCATACAGTACCCACAGACTTGTACCTAGCTGCCCCCCAAGCACATGGCACATAGCTGCTGCAAATGCAGTGGGGCTGATAGTGATGGACCTTCCGAAATGATGACCGAGGCACTAGAAAGTTCCAAACAGGACCAAGGGATCCCAGCCCTCCATTTTCATTGCAGTTGCAGTCCTGGGGAATTAGGTTGATATTAAAACTATACAAAATACTTTATGTATATGTAAAATGGAATTAGGTTCTAGTCTCAGAAGGTTATTGGGGATATGGAGCAGTTGCCCCTGGTCCTTAAAAGCTATGATGAACTCCAGGTCATTGTGACCACCAAAAACAACTCCACAAATTTCCAAAATGCCTGGAGGGGACAGTATCCCGATGCAGAGAACCACTGATGTACAACCTACCGTAGAAATCAAGATAGGTGACAGGACATGGGTTCTTCTGAGAAACAGAACCGATGAGACTATCTATCTCTCTATCATCTATCCACAAAAAGATGTAGTTTAAGGAATCGGCTCACATGCTAGTGTGGGCTGGAAAATATGAAACCAGTGGAGTGATGGCTGGAGACCTAGGGAAGAATCGATGTTGCAGTCTTGAGTCCTAAGGCAATTTGGAGGCAGAATTCCCTCTTCCTCAAGGGACCTCAATTTTTTTTTATATGGCCTTCAACTGTTGGATGAGGCCCACCCACATTGTTAAGAGTAATCTGCTTTACTCAAAGGTTGCTGATTTGAATGTTAGTAACATCTGCAAAATACCTTTACAGCAACACCTAGATTAGTGTTTGACCAAACAACTGGGTACCGTAGCCTAGCCGTGTTGACACATAAAATTAACCATCACAGCATATGACAAAGAAGATGAAGAATTTTCTGTTCCTGTAATTGGGACTCAAAGGGTGGTCACTGTAAATATCTTTATGTGTTTTTCTTTGAAGTATAACCAGTGTGCAGCGTTCAGACAATGGATCATACATCTGCAAGATGAAAATAAATAATCAAGAGATCGTGTCTGACCCCATCTACATCGAGGTACAAGGTAAGTCCAGAGGCCAGAGAGTCCCACTGTCAGAGAGTTGCTTAATTTAGAGCCTGCATTAAATGTTTTGTGTATAATATTCTAGAGTTCGGCCTGCCCATTTAGAACTCTGTATGCAAACCTTGCAAATCCACCAACACTGAAATTTTATAAGGCAGTCCTCTTTGTAGACTATAGGTAATAATAAAATGAATTCAGTTCTTAAAGTTTGAGCTCTATCCTAGTTACTAGAGATGAGTTAAAAAGAGATTATATACTTCCTTATCCACTGGTTTTTTACAATAAAAATAGACTGAAGACTTTAGGAAGCAAAATGCATTTTTTTGAAACCAGTTCTCAGTGCTGGTACCAGATACCACTCACCTGGCCAAGTGACTATTGGCTTATTGTTCAGCATCTTTTCCTGTTTTGCATATGCAGATGGTGAAACATTGTGGGGTGAGTGGTTTTCCTGGACTGAGTCAACAGCTCAGCTGGAGACTCCTTTTGGGTGGTAGGATCAGGTGCATGGTTCAGAGAAATTCCATGACATCACATGAGGGTCATTCGGGGTGAAGAGTGAAACATCAGGCTAGGAAAAGGCAGTCTCTGCCCTTGAACTTGAACTCTAATGGGGAATGTGAACTGATGCACAGGTGAACCAGGCTAGGTGAGCCCAGGTCCTGAGCTTGATGCCCTGGAGGTTTGCATGCCTGGTTCTGCAATGGCAGGGCCTATCCAGGAAGGCTGCAAGGAGGAGCACCTTTATTATCATCTAAAGTGGTTGTTCCCCACTCCCCGGGGGGCTGCCCTCCGGGGCCTCTGCATCCCTGCTCTCTGAGGTTTCCCTGTTAGCAGAGATATCCGATCACCTCTCTTTCCTACTTTCTCTTGAAACTCAACCAGAAACATCTCCCACTAAAAGGCTCCTCTGCTACCCATTCTTTTGTGAACCTGAACTTGATACCCACTAACACAGAAGGAGCCTGAGAGAGGGAAAAGGGAAGAAAGAAGGACTGCATAGGAGAGACAGAGAAGGGGAAGAGACAGGGAGGGAGGCCCCTCAGAGGAAGCTCTTTCAGACCTTACAGCGCACGTCTCAGGGTTATGTCAGCATCAGCCAGAGAGGATTTCCTACATTTGCGGCTAATCTGGGGAAAATATTTAGAGGACATTTTACTTGTCAGAAAACTGCCCAGGGCAGGAACACCTTAAGTCCAAACCGAGTTTTGGAAAACCTTGAAACAGGAAGAAAGAATCCCATTTCACATAACTGCCGTATCATTCCTGTTTGAAACAGATCTGTGAGTTCCCAGTCCCAGAAGAACACAACTAGCTTGACTTGTAACATTTTTGGCATGTGCTCCCATTAAGTACTGACTGGCTTTCTCTGAGATATTCCTAAACTACTTTATGGCCTTGATTTTGGAAGTACAATAGGAGATTTTAGGATTGTAACTGTGTAACTGTATCTATACTGTTTCCATGAGAATGTGCTTTAAAAAATGTTCAGCCCTACGCAAGTAAATGGATTTTAAAATTTACCATCACTCATCTGAAAGTCACACAATAGATTGCCTCATACCATGGGCAGACCTATTAGTAGCTTTGTTTTTACTCCATGTTTTTTTTTTAGTAAGAAATACTAAAAACCTGCCAACCAGTCCTAGGAGTTTGAGCAACACCTGATTTAAGAACTGTTTGTGGCCTCCCTTCTAGTAAAACCAATTCTGAATCACTATCCGTGGCCCCTTTGGGAAAGTGTCTAGAAAGCCTTAAGGTAGACTGGTGGGAATGAGGCTCTGTGCTTTGTCTTACCCAACTTTAAGGAGGCGAAAACTGGCCATTTCAGACCTGAGGTAGTTAGTACATGAACAAATCTCCCGTTGCCAAGTTCTAGTTCAGTTTCCATTCGCCTTAGGGCTCTGCCTCTGCTCAGGATCTGAAACATTCTTTTCTTTAATGCTTTCTCTGCAGGACTTCCTCACTTTACCAAGCAGCCTGAGAGCATGAATGTCACCAGAAACACAGCCTTCAACCTCACCTGTCAGGCTGTGGGCCCACCTGAGCCGGTCAACATTTTTTGGGTTCAAAACAGCAGCCGTGTTAATGAACGGCCTGAAAAATCCCCCTCAGTTCTAACTGTTCCTGGTAAGTCCAAGCAGTGCACTTATTTATCTGTTTATTCTCTAATAGCAGAAGGGATGGGAAGTTTGGTGACTCCTGTTGCGCACCACCAGTGGGCAGTGCAGAAGGACGAAAATGCAGGTACGGCAGTGGCAGCGGCGGTTATGGGACTAGCTAGAGGGGAAGGTAGGTAGGAATCACAGGTGTGAGAATTCACAGGCTAGGGTTCCAAAGTGGCTGAGGGCCCTCCAAGGGTGTGCTCGGTGAAGTTGGGGAAGTGGCCAGAACCCCCAGCCCTGGCGGCAAGAGCCCTGCTCGCTTCCCCATTGCAGCTCTGGAGGTCTTGTGCTTACAGAACCACCGCGGTGGGTTTGACAGCAAGAAAGTGGATTGGTTGCAGGGAGCTGTTGTAGGAAGCTGGTGAGTCCTTGTGGGATTGTGGCTAAATGGACATTCCATGTTCTTGATTTCCATCCAAGCGAGAGTGCCCTGACTTCGGTCCCCCGCACCACTGACAATGCTCTTGTTAACACCATGGACGTTTCCTGTGCCCCTAAAGCCAGTGGGCTCCCCTGTGGCTCCTCTGATCGCATCTTTCAGCAGCATCTGGCAAGGTGACAACACTCCCTCCCTCCTTCCTTTCTCCATGCATTCAGCAAATGTGTTAGGAGGGACTTCTGTGTGCCTGAGGCTGTTCCGGGCCCTCAGATATTGCAGTGAACTTGGAAACATTGCCCTGGCTTTCTTCCCTATTCATTGCTCCTCCTGTGGTGCTGACAGGAGTTCTGAATGGTGAGGTGTCCCAGGGCTCAGTCCTGGGCCTCCTTCTTTTTACTTCGAGATGCTCCCTGCTGAGAATGCCAACTGTGTGATGAAGACCTCGAACTTTACATCTCCAGCCCAGACCTTTCTCCCCAGCCTCAGGCTCATGTATCCAGCTGCCTCCTTGGCATTTCCACGTGCTGGGTGTGTAGCCTTCTTAAAATGGAACTCTTGATTTCCACCCAGACTTGTTTCACCCCAGAATTCCCCATCTTAGTGAATGATAACACCATCTGCCCATCCTTCCTTTTTCTCGTTTTTCGTGTTGAATGCATCAGCAGTTCTGTCAGTTCTGCTTCTACAATGGTCTGAAATCTGTCTTTTCCCCTTCTCTGCTTCTGGCACTGTGGTCCACGTCACTGCCAGCTCTTGCCAACACCACTGCAGTAGCTTCCTGACTGGTCTCCCTGCTCCCAGCCTTGTTCCTACTCCCATCCACCCTCCTCAGCAGCAGATGACATCACCTGCCTGCTGAAAACCCTTCAGTAGCTTTGGGTTGTCTTAGACTATCACCCAGAGTCCTTCCTGTCCTTGCCCCTAGGGGCTGCATGCTCTGGCTCCTGCCCAACTCTCCAGCCCAACGCCATCCCACCCTCTCCTCCCTGCTCCTTAAGCACCATAGTGATTGTTTTTCATTCCCCCGACACCTCGTGTTTCTTTCTGCCTCCGGACCTTTGCACTGTCTCTTCTGTCTGCCTGCAATGTTTTTTCATCTGTTTCTTGTCCCATGACACAACTCAAGTATTACTTCTTGAGTGCTCAGAGAGGTCTTCCCTCACCATCCCATCGTTGACTCCCAATCACATATTCTTTTCTACCCCCTCCATTGCACTCGTCACTATCTATAATTACCCTGTTATTTGTGTGACCTCCTTGTCTATCTGAGAGAATGTGTTCTTAGTAAGGACAAGGACTTTGTCTTTCCTGTTCACTACTGCGCTCCCTGTGTAAAGCAGCATCTGACTCATAGCAGTACTCAGTCAATATTTACAGCCAGGATGAATCAGCAAATGACAGCCAGCCTCTAGCTGTTGTCTCTGAACCACTTTTCTAACCCCTGACTTCAGGAGGAATGTTATAGTCTTCTCTGTCTTCTCTGAATTTTCTTTGAGTTTCTCCAAGGAGTTGATAATTAAGTAACTTCTTGGTTCAAAATAAATTTTAGAAAATATACTCCACCTTTTCTAGAATGATTACTCTGAATTCCCATAAAGAAAGACTTTTTTTCATTGAGGTAAAATTGACATATGATTAAAAGCATAGAACTTAGTTGTGCAACTTGGTGAGTTTTCCGAAGTGTAGACACCCATGTAGCCAGCACCTCAGTCAAGATGTAGAACATTGCCATCAGCTCAGAAAGTCCCTCGGGGGCCCTTCCAGTTGTCACCACCTCCCAACACTATTCTAATATCTATCCTCACAGATTAATTTGCCTGTTCTTGAAGTTCAAAAAATGGAATACAAAGTATATACTTTTTTGTATCAGGCTTCTTTTACTTAGCATGCTTCTGAGATTCATCCATGTTGTTTTGTGCATCAGCAGTGCTTTGTTTTTTATTGCTGATACAGTGCTCTGTTGTATGATGTGTTAATTTTGTTTATCCATTTGGTGAACATTGGGGATATTTATGGCTATTGGCTGTTATGATTAAAGTAGCTATGAATATTTGCATGCAACTGTTTTGGGGACATATATTTTTATTTTGTCTTGGATAAATACAGAGGAGAGTGGTGGCATGTGCCTGTAGTCCCAGCTACTCTGGAGGCTGAGGCAGGAGGACCGCTTAAGCCCAAGAATTTGAGGTTGCAGTGAGCAATGATGACACCACTGTACTCTAGTCCCAGCAAAAGAGCAAGACCCTGTCTCAAAAAAAAAAAAAAGAAAAAGAAAGAGAAAAAAAACCTAGGAGAGGAATTGCTGGGTCTTATGGTAGGTGTATACTTAATTTTTAAAGAAACCACTTAACTATTTTACAAAGTGGTTGTACCATGTTACATTCCCAGCAGCAGTGGATGAGAGTTCTAGTTGCTCCATCCACATCCTTGCCAACGTTTGATATTGTCAATCTTTTTAATTTTAAATATTCCAGTGCATATGAAATGGTATATTAATGTGGTTTTAATTTACATTTCATTTCTGTGATGCCTAATTTTAGATTAGATTTAGAAAAGATTTTAGTGTCTTTTCATGTGTTTATTAACCAATCATATATTCTTTTTGGTATATATTTG